AATCACCGCGCCGGTGTGGATACTGTCATTAGGAATAACAGATTCTACTTTTTGGAAGTATGACCAACATAAGAATTTTCACCCTATAATGTAATCTGAACAAGTAACATCCACTTTTGTTCTTCTGACCAACTAACTGGAAAAAAGCATTAAGCAAATCGCGCTTTTTAAATCTAACGATCGTTTTTCATATCACGTCAAACCGTGCAAATTATACTTTGTTCTCAAATTGTTAATGTTAACAACATCAGCATTGAGTGACTACATTTAGAGCCCTTCAGATATTTATCCTTGTTTTCGCATGGGCCCGGTTGCAGTCTCTTTTCCCAAACTATCAGTCCAAAGTATTTTGCATTTTACAACGGGTGAATCTCCAGTTGTCATTGGTGATTGTCATTTGAACCTTTCTGGATCCGCCATCAAATTAATACGTTTAATTATATCAAGTGCTGTGAGAAAAGGCTATAAATCTCCATCTCCAACATTCTCACTCGCAATATAGTCTACTAGCCGAGACTCCTTCTTTATGTGTACAGATGTGACGTAATGACGCAAAGACATTAGGCCTGTAGCGGCGCGTCGATGACGTCGACGCTTCGACGTCAAAAATTCGTCGACGTCATATTTTTTTGTCGACGCTTCTTTATTTATTTATGTATTTATTTTTTTGCACCGTTCCCGGCGGTACAGCTCGCCACACACACGTGGGAGACCGAAACATTGCAGAATCGAGGACGAAACAGCAACCTCTTCACAGAATTCACAACAAAGCCATGCAAAAGTCCCAACAAAAGAAAAAGTCCTAAAAAAACCCAGCTCGCACTAAATCATCGAAGGTATGGGAATACTTCAAATTTAGTCCCAAACGTAAAGGTGTCGTTATTTGCGCTCTTTGTCAAATGGAGTTGACATCCCAAGTCTCCCGCATAGTGATAGCGGCTCCCTGATGACCGCAAATTAGTTAAAATCTCCCGGAATCTAGAGCTCGCGAGCTCCAAACCGTGTAGCGCGCGCAGCGAGGGAGAGAGCGAGAGACCTTGCGCGTGTGTGCCTTATGAAGCGCATGTAAACCCCACCCCCGTCAACAAAACCAGTCCGGATGTTTTTTATGAGCACTGAAAACATTAAAATGAGCACCACATCCAAGTGTGACAGTGTAGATACTCTGTAAGAACCAGATCAAAATTGTTGTGCATTGAATGTGCACTCCTGCAATTTCCATGTTACAAAAAATAATCGTTCAATTAGTCGTTAGATTAGTCGACTAATCGATAAAATAATCGACAGACTAATCGTTTAATTAATAATCGTTTACCCCAGCCCTAAAAGACATGCTCGAATTTCCCGCGGAAATCCACCAGTACCACTGGAATTAAAAACATTATTACAAGCTTACCGCTTTGAATCGAGCTACAGCAAGCAGAGAGTTTTGAACACTGGCTGGTTATGTACTTGCTCAAATTTATTTTGGATAATTTTTAACACAAAAAAGTTACGGACTGGAGCTTTAAGTCAACAATAATAATAATAAATGATAATAAAATAAAAGTTCACGGTTCTCTTGTGTCGGCTAAAGGGATAGTTCACCCAAAAAATGAATTTCATAATTTACTGACCCTCAAGTTGTTCCAAACCTGTATAAATTTCTTTGTTTGTTCTGCTGAACACAAAATAAGATATTTTGAAGAAAGTGTGTAACCAGGTCACTTTGGGGCACCATTGACTTCCATAGTAGGGAGGGGGAAAAAAAGAAAATTATACAGGTTTGGAACAACATGAGGGTGAGTAAATGATGACATAATTTTCATTTTTGGGTGAACTATCCCTTTAATGGTCACATGACATTGAGGTAAACAAATATTTGTAATCTTTTTGTTAAGTTTTCAGTATTCACATTCAAGCTCAAGCAGATGCGAAAGAGAACTCAATACAGTACTCGCAAGCTGTTTTGTGTTTTCACGCATGCACTCATTCTCACGTGGGGGAAAAATGTGGGTGAGAAAAACACATGCAAATGATCAACTTTCGTGACAACGCAGCACAGGCCCAATCGGGCAGTCTTTATTGAAGAGCCCTGAAAAGGAAAAGAAAAAAAAAAAAGTACCTTTAATGGGTTAACTAACCTGAGGTGTTCCAGGGCCAGAGCAGTCTGATCAAAGTCCCCAGACTCATCGTAGACAACCGAGAGCTCCAGAAGAGGTACTTTATGAAGTGTAGCTTCCAGTAGGGACTTCATGGACTCTTCAGTAAGATCACAGCTTCTGGTCTCACACTCCATTGGTAGCACCAGCTCCACCTTTGCCTTTAGCTCCTTACAATCAACATCAACAACCTACAACAACAATCCTCATTCCTCAGCCTTTTAAACATCCTTTTGTGTGTAAATGCTTCAATCATACGCTTTGACCTTTTTGTTTCTTGACAGTAAATACCCAAAAAGCACTTGCCACCATATGCTTCAATGAACTTACTTCAACCAGCACGTCAAACACGTCAGTGTGCCATATGGCCTGCCAATCACATGGCTCCACTATCTTCTCCAGGTACTCAGCGGTGAAGGCTTTTACTTCAGACGTTTTACAGTCACCTGTCAAACATTTCAGGTTTTTAAATACATTTATTGACTGTATTGTTGTGGATGACTTTCAAAAGTGTTTGAATTGTTACCAAGCATGTAATCTTGATATGCCTTGAATCTCTCATAGTACAAAAGATGATCTGTCTGGAAGGTGTCCAGCAGTTTTCCATGTCCTGGCCTCTCTGCTCGCCTTAAATGAGTACAGGGTCTTTCATCACAACTCAGATAATGGGTGCCGCTGTCGTCATCATCATCTTCTTCTTCTGTCTGAAATAACTCTGAAAACATCAGCACTGGCAGTTCAGTAATTTGCCCTAAAGACCCACACAACCAAATGTGTTTTGGCCTGTTGTTAAAATATCTGTCAAAGTCAAACGTGTGACATGCCATTAACTTTTTAGGGGTGTGTGAATGGCACATGCTAACTTGACATAAGTTAAATCAATGGAGGAGTTCAATGCAAATTACAACAAACCACACAGTCATAGTCATATAGCGTATAAACATCACAAACCTTTAGAAACTCGATTATGGTTTGGTGTGATCTCAGTACAGAGAGTCTCTGTGTCTCTTTCAGTCTCTTGGTTTACATTATGATCATGATCGTTTAGTGGATTTTCGCTGGTCAGTTTGATGATGATTTCAACGCTGTTTTCAGTCTCAGCGTCTCTCACCTCCTCCGGCTTTGAACACTCAAGCTCCTCTGACATCACTAAAGCTTAAAACTTTAATGTTGCTACAATAAACGAGGTAGATATAAATAAAATGTATTTTGTTAACTAAGTAAGCAGCCAACTGACGGTCGGTCTCCACCCTTCACTTGTATTTTCAAAAGCTACCCGGGCTGAGCAAAGAGCCCAATAAACTCACAGGGCGGGGCAATCCGAAACATTCTTAAAGGGACAGTGCACAGTTAAAACTTTTTAAAGTCACCATGAAATAAAAATTGACAATACTTGTTTTTTTATGGAATATTGCATGGAATATTGCTTTTTTTTTTTCAATTCACGTGCCCTCATAATGTTTATGATTAACATAAAGTATGTGGTTAACACAACTTAACTTATTTATCGGAACTAGGCTGAGGACTATGGAAGCAGAATAGTCTCAACTATAATTCACGCAAGAAACATGATTCACACGTGCGTAGACAATTTCACATGCCGGAAACCTAATTCACGTACACACAAAAAAAATTCACGTGCGTGAAAAAAAATGATATTCACAAAAAGCAATTCACATGCGCAAAATAAAATTACATATTCATAAAAACATTTCACAAATGCAAAACACAATTCGTAGATATACAACTGTGCACAAAAACCTTTGAATGTTTAAAATGTATGAGAGTGTCCTTGAATTTGAATGTGCAAATCGTCATTCACGTACGAATCGCCTTGGATGTGTGTGTGTGTATTTTTGAGACTTTCCTGGCAGTGCTTACTCATAAAACAGAGCAGTCTACTCGTAACACGGAGCAGTCGTACTCTTTAGCCAATCAGATTTAAGCTTATCAATCAACCAATCAGTATCACGTGAGGGCGAATGAGCACAGCCATGAACAAGTCGAAAGCTGATGATGTGACATGCAGGTAGGCCCGCCCTCACGTGATACTGATTGGTCGATTGATAAGCTTAAATCTGATTGGCTAAAGAGTACGACTGCTCTGTTTTATGAGTAAGCGCTGCCAGGAAAGTCTCAAAAATACACACACACACATCCAAGGCGATTCGTACGTGAATGACGATTTGCACATTCAAATTCAAGGACACTCTCATACATTTTAAACATTCAAAGGTTTTTGTGCACAGTTGTATATCTACGAATTGTGTTTTGCATTTGTGAAATGTTTTTATGAACATGTAATTTTATTTTGCGCATGTGAATTGCTTTTTGTGAATATCATTTTTTTTTCACGCACGTGAATTTTTTTTGTGTGTACGTGAATTAGGTTTCACGCATGTGAAATTGTCTACGCACGTGTGAATCATGTTTCTTGCGTGAATTATATTTGAGACTATTCTGCTTCCATAGTATGGTGGATAAAGACATACTAAATAAATACTTGTAAAATATACATGTATTTGTACACTACATATAATTGCATTTTAATATAGCGGACCAGAGAAACATAGCTGAGCTTTTGCTTCTTAACGTTCTCTTTGGTTGTTAGCTAATTATTTTTTATTTCAGATACCATTTTTTCTAAATTAAATATTCATAAATAATCTTTTATAACCCATACAGAGAAATCGAGAAATAAATCATAATTTTCACAGTGTTATTATTGTTATTTCGGACTGTAATTCTGTGGTGAATGATGCCGTGCTCGATTTATTCGGTCTGAATCGGTGATCAGCTCGTCTGTCCTGTCTGTCACATGTGATTCTAGCCGCAGCATTTTTTGGATCCTGTGTGTTAACTTACTGTGTTTTGATGGAACGTAAGTTTTATGGTGGTATTATATTGATCAAGATACTTATTATATTGATCAAGATCCTATTAATCTTATAATTTTTAATGCATTATGTTGTGACCATCTTGGATCCTGATTCTGTGTTAAACATACATACAATTAAGGTAATTTATCAACGAAAACAAAAGGAAGGACAAGCGTAGTATATGCTATATTTAATATTTTTTTACGTTCACAGATGTGGTGCAATCCTCGATCCCATCAAAGGAAAGCGCTCTTTTGGGAGTTGAGGTGACTTCACTGTCATTAACATTAATTTTTAATTCAAGCTGTTCGACGTTCTAATTAATGATCTGTTAAGCATTTCATAATGTGTAAATAATAATAATTATGTTAATTCTGCGGGGGGGGGTGGTCTCTGGAAATGTAAAAGTTGGAAATCATGAAACAGTTCATTGTTGCAGATGGGCTCACACTGTGTATGATGTACGAAAACTTTACAAACTAGTCAATAAGATTCTGAATGTCACTTTTCACAGTCTTCAACCACAATGAAAGCGGAGGCTTTTACCAAAGCATTCCTGAAAAATAGCCTTCCCCAAATGAAAGATGCAGCCATTGAGGAAATGATGTTGCGCAAGGCGGTAGTGCTGGAATTTAAAAGACCGAAAAAGAAGGGAAAGAAAAGCAAGGCCAAGGGACTGAATGCCAAAGAAAGAAGACAGCTGAAAATATTCCAGCTCAAACCTGAACATCAAAAGTATGTATTAGAGGTTTCATTATGTTTACTCTTTTACCTTGTAGTATTGTATCATGCTCTACATTGTATCTGTAAAACTTCAGCTTATCACTAAAATCATATATCTTTGTCTATGGATATCATTGTAGATATGAACTCTTCTTGCCTCTGCATGAGCTATGGAAGCAGTACATTGAGGATCTGTGCAATGGATTGAAACCAGAAAGGTCATAATTTTAGGAAGATGCTCTTCAGAATTTCTGCCTCATGGGTATAATTTCAATTCCAGTCTTGCTAACGCTCCATGAATGTGCTGCCTGTTTCTTTTGAACACAGCAACCCACAGATGATCCAACAGAAGCTCTTGAAAGCTGATTTCCACGGTGCTGTCTTAACAGGTACAACGTCATGCATATTTGAAAATGTCTGCACACAAAGGCACACATTTTTGGTTTAGTGGCAGTATATCCAGATTTCCGATTATTGTTGATATTTTGAGCGTAAAGTGGAACCTTATGTTCTCTCTCTCTCATTTTTTCCCCCCCATAGTTGTCAAATCAAAGTGCCCTTCGTATGTGGGTCTAACTGGCATCTTGGTACAGGAAATGAAGCACATCTTCAAAATCATTACAAAAGAGGACAAACTAAAAGGTATATGCGTAAATATAAACTATAGGTTTCACAGCATTTTATGAATATGAGTGTGTCAAAGATGGCAAGCTTCTGTCCACTAGATATAGGAAGGAGGAGCCTTTGAGTGCAAAAAAAGGCAAATATGAGAAATTAGCAGCTATTTTTTCCCCTGTGCCTGTATGCGGTGTGGTAATCAAGTCAAAATAATATTATGTAAACGTTTGCTATGCTCATCAATTGTCAAAATCTTTTGTCTTGCATGCAGCTGTCGGGCTATTTTATCATTGTCCAGAGTGACTGTGTGGCACAATATACCGGTACTGACAATAACTAGCTATGTTTCCATACATCTAATTTTACGTAAACTTTTGGATATCGCATTGAAAAATGCTGTATGGAAACACTAAAATGCACTTAAATTCTAAGAATGTGCATAAAAATGTATTGAGGTGATACTTTTTTTATCTGATGAGAAGACATGCACACGAACTATGATAGAAACACATTTAAAGAATAAATCCCTCAATGCGCAACAAAGAACTCGTGTGACTTTGCCTCAACAGAGGTTGTGATTGGATAGCTGGAATAAGCTGCAGACCAATTTCATTATACTGCGTCTCAAATGTTGGTTTAGTTATTCTGAAATGCAGAATAACTAAACCAACATTTATTCTGAAATGCAGAATAACTAAACCAACATTTAGTCTATCATCAAAATGGTTAATAATGCCCACCCAGAACTCTCTCTCACATTTTCATTTCCAAACACCAGATATGTAAACACAAGATAATGCGACAGACAGTGTGTATTGCATTACGTCTCCATGCTCTTTATGATGTAACAAAAAAAGATCCACAGTGGATTCCCCGATTGCAGCAACTTACATTTTTATTAGAGATATTTTGTGCCAATTTCCCAGGAAGTGACGATTTTGTTCTCTTGTTTATTTACAAATGTTTTATGCGATATTCCAATTGTGCGTTTAATTCACAACTTTAAATAGAAACATAATGTGTGATTTTTAAAAATGTAATATTGATATCATGTTACGCTGCCCTTAATATTGTAAATAATCCAGCGCCAGTAATGACCCTGTTGACACAGACACCAGTGGCGGGTTGGTAAAATAACGTAGTCTTAGACAACTCAGTCTGCAAAAAAAAAAAGCTGATCAACCAAGTTTATGTTTTTGTACAGTTATGGTTACAAATTGTTCTCTTCCCTACACTCATGTTTAGAGTGATTCATTGTCTAAAAAAGAGAAAACTCAAAATAGACAAAGTTAAAGATGTATTTGTCTGGTAGCATCATTAATTTTTTTGCAACATTTCTGTAGATATTTCTATAATTTTGTAATTGTGAATTCTGTTGGCCACGATAATAGTGTTGTGAAAATCTGATAAGACAGCCCTATTCCAGATTGAAGTCAAATCTTCTTACTGTGTCATGAAAGCACTTCTCACTTCTTCCTCACAACAGCTATTAGCCACTTCTCAGAACCCTCTTTTCCAAATGAACCTGAGAACAAAGTCTGTCAACAGATGGTGTGTAAAAAGATCTGTTGCAACCATTTTGTTTGACAGTTGCTTAAAGGTGCAATGTGTAATCATTTTAAGTATCTATTAACAGAAATGCAATATGACATCCATAACTATGTTTTCAGTGGTGTATAAAGAACTTACTTAATAAACCGTAATGTTTTTATTACCTTAGAATGAGACATTTATATCTACTGTACATAACCGCGGGCACCCCCTTCTATGAAGGTCGACATATTGTGACGTCATGTTTTTACCGTAGCCGAGAGCGAACAAACAGCGCTACAGAGCGCGTTTCGTCACTACCTTGAAAGAGAAGCAGCAGAAAGCTAGAAGCTAGCCATAAACACCGTGAGTAGTGACTTTTCCCTTGTCAGTGGTGTAAAATATGTAGTTGGATTGTTTCATACAACTTAGTTCTTCTCCCTCGCTGTGTTATGGCTTTGCTATGTGGGGATAAATGTGCTGGTTACGTTTGTGAGACAGCTGATTAGTACTCTTGTCATTGACCGTAAAACAGTATGTTACAGGAATCACCAGCCCGTCGATCGTGGTCGACAAGTCGATCTTGGAAGCATTTTAAGTCGATAGCGAAGAGTTTTCAAAATCAAAGAAAAAAGCCTATTGTGTGTAGTAAATGGTGTCTAGGGGATGCGGAGGCGCGCGCGCTGTTACAATCATGTCATTTTTGCCACGCGCACCTTTGGGCTCATGCGGACGCGTCGAGTTTAAACAAGGCTTTACGCTTTAACCAGCTCAGCCACAGTAACAGCTCATATTTAGCCAGCTAAACTTTTACTACCCTGTTAGAAAAAAAATATAGTTGCATAGTTTCATGTGGTTCTTCTCCCTCGCTGTATTATGGGTTTGCTATGTGGGGAGAAATGTGCTGGTTACGTTTGACCCTTGATCCTCACCTGACTATGGCTTCGTAAACTTTATCCATGGTGTGGATAATGGACTGTGGTACAGAAACAGTGACAATGTTACAAGTAACAGTGACAATGTTACACACATGTTGGCTTACTCTGGCTATTCTCTGCTGTCTCAGACGACGATATGTTTGTCCTGTTTTAGCCACCATAGTTTCTTCGAAAGGGAGGGGTGAGCAGTGGGCTGAGCCCTTAGTGCATCTCGCAACCGAACCGCTAGATGCCGCTAAAAATCACACACTGCACCTTTAACCGAGGCCACTTTAACCTTTCAAATAGTGTTGATTTATTCATTATAGAAATATGCTCTGGAATACTGACACATTTTTTCCCTCCTCTCTCTTTCTCTCTCTCTACAGTAATACCGAAGAGGAACAGTGTGTTCAGTATGGAGATTGGTGATTTCGTAACTCACATCTATGGCAGCAAGTTTGAACTGCGCTCCAGTGAGCGGTCAGCAAAGAAATTCAAAGTAAAAGGAACTATTGACTTGTAATGGAAAGTCTAAAACATCGTGTCAATTTTAAATGTGAGCTGATACTGGAGCCTGGGAGACAATGAAGAGCAGATGCTCAATCATTATGGATTTGGCCAAGCATGAAACTATATTGGGGATTTAGGAAAAGTAGTAGCGTTTGACTGTCCACCAGAGGGAGACCTTTTTTTTTTTCCTTTTTTTTTTGAGAAGATAGGAAGAATAAATCTCTCTCTCTCTCTCTCTCTCTCTCGTAACTGCCACTCCCTTTTATTATATAAAACTCTTTGCTTATGACCTCATTTAGTCGACAAAATTGCAAAATGTCCCATTACTTCTGTAATAACATGGTATAACAATAGATCCAGAAGTATGTTTAATTTGCACAATTATTTCCCATGGCCGGGAGGTATTTAAGTAAGTACTAAAATGTTGAAGTTGTGTAAAATAAGCAAAGTATTGTTAGTTGAATGAGCAGGATCTCCAGTTCAAAGTGTATACTGAGGGGAATTGGTATGATTTTTAAGTTATTTGGTTCTGTTTCAGTGGTGTATATTTTGTAGTATTTGCCTGATCACAAAACAAGGAACTTGTTTTTTCCCTCCTCAAAACAAGGCCTGATTCTTGGAAGACTTGGTCATGGTTTTTTTTTTCCTTTTTAAGTGACTCGTCAATGCCTCTTCTGGTAATGCCTGGGAATCTCCACATTCCTAGACAGAACTGGTTTTGCAAATAAGTACGTAAGAGTTTGTTACTAACTAAATTGGCTTAGAGAAAAATTCTAGATTATTTAGCATTTGGTGCTTAGAACAGATTCTGGCAACTGGTTTGAGTTAAAGGAAGCTGTAACATCGACTGCTTCTGTACCAAAGAACGACAACGATGTCACCATTCTTGCAAATACACATGAAGTCCTTTCAGCATTCTGATGTGCAATGTCCTTTATGAGAAAAGAGGTTCTTTACACTTAATGTCTCCTCTGTGGTCAATGTGTAAATAGGGTGTGCACTTCCTTTAAACCACATTTTATATTTTTACAAGAAATAATATGTAGCCTATTAATTGCCACATATACAATTTCATGTTGTATGTATTAAATGGCTGTGCCGTGCTTATATCACACGCCTGTTCTTTGCAGTCACTTTGCATATTTTTCTGTTAAAAGAAAGAAAAACTTGTTAGACTGGCTTTGCCACCCGGTTGGTTTAAGGGCCAAAGTTCTGTTGTCGTTTTGATACTATTGCTTAGTGAATCAGATAAGGAGTTCTCTGCTATCTGAGCCCATACTGTTAATCAGATGAACAACAAATATTTTTACTCTTAGTAACATACAGTGGCTAAAAGTTTTTTTTTTGTTTTTTTTTATACATGTTGTAAACATGTAAAACCCACTACACTATATTAATGCTTTACAAATTTGTATAAATGTTTTCTTAGTGTGCATGGTTTTGTTTGTGCGCAACAGAATGACAGTGATGTGGAATTTAGATGAAACAGCTGGGCCATAAACACACATGTACGGGTACTATTATTTAGATTTTTAATGTATATTTTTTATTATACAGATCTACTTCTATATCTACAAGTATACCTATGGCAGCCTTGTGTAGAATATTTATCTTTTCTTAGTTTTAGTGTTTATTTGACTGAGTTTCATGTCATTATTGTTCTATAAATACTACGGGACTTTTTACTACGTCATGCACTGCACCTAAATCTGCTTTTTGTTTTTTAAATACCTTGTCTTTTTCAGCCTAGTTAGGTATCTCATAGTATGTTTCTTCCACATTAACTTTTGATATTCTCCTCTCATTTGCCAATTTCCACCTATTCAAGCAAATGTTTTCCCCCTTTTTAACTGTTTATGTGCGAAAGCCTCAGCTATGTATTACTTCTCTGTGACAGGGGATATGAGGAACATCAACAACATTTTTTGTTTTTGCTATGAAATATGTTATTATTGACTATTCTAGGACGCGAGTTATGCATCAGTGTTATTTTAATACTTCAAATGCCTGTTTGCTTCTCAGATGTGTGGTTTTTTTTAGCTGCCCTTTGAATACTTTTAATAATTTGTTTGACAGAAACTGTCCTTAAGTCTTTGACCGAGCTCTTCTGTGCTCTAAATCACTCACAAATCTTTTAATAATTCAATCATCTCTATTCAGTTTTTGCAAAATATTGGTTGTTTTAATGTCTTTTGCACGACATTGCACTATTTCATGCTTTTCTTCTACAGAAAGATCTTTCTTCCTCCCCATATTGCATTAGAACTCTGACTTGCTTAATAATGTTGAACAACCTCTTTCCATTCAAGACATGGCAAAATATTTATAACATTTCTGAGATTAAGACCAACTATCTAAAAAGAAATGCAAAATAAAATCCTAATGTTTATTGTGCTAAAATCCTACTGATATGTCACTTGCATAATAATTTGGAACAGTGTGAGTTCATGAAACTGATTCGTTTTAGTCAACAATATCAACACATTCATTTTTCTCAGTCACATCAACTGTGAAATAAATTAGGCAGACGACCAAAAATACAGCAGCAATAATACCAGTATTATCATAAATGTTCTATTCTATTTGACGAACATGAGGTCTATAAAATGTCATGACTATATATATATATATATATATTAATTATCTCTACACTCAGCAGGACTCTGACAATAGTGACTTGAATCTGACATGTCATCCGTTCGAAACACTTTATTTTGTGCTAGTATGTCTAGAGTAAGTCGAGTATTTTCCAGTCAAGAACAAGGAAGGTAACACTTCTAAAATAGTATAGCATTTCTGAGCAGTAGCAAATTCCCCTTTTCAAACAGGAAAGACAAGCTTGTGACACTCTATAAAAGGTATGTCTCAACCAACCTGCAAAGAGAAAGAAGTGATTTGTAGTGCTGAACACAGAGGAGTATTTTCATAAAGTTTTTTTTTTTGGAACGAGGGAACTGAACAAATACAAAGTCTGTTAACACAACAATTCACTGCTTTCCACGCCAATCAGGTATTTGGTAGTTCCTTGGTGAATTAATTTTTAAGTCTTATATTTTGTGTCTATATTGTATAATTTATTTTATTAGCGTTATCAGAGCTGAAATCTTGACTTGAAGTGTTGATTTGAAAGTACTGTACTGTAAAAAAACAACAACAACAGTACATTGAAATCGTTTTGACCTTGTCAATACTTTGATATTTTACAGGCAGCAACAATGGAAGATCTGACCTTTACTATTCAGAACCGTGAGCGAATCAGGGCGGTGGCGAGCTCTTTTGGCCGCACTGGGAAGATACTTTTAAAACCCGGGCGTATTCTTGTGGGAGAGGGCTGCTTGTTGAAGCTGTGCAGGCGTGGACCCAAACCCAAAGTGTTCTTCCTCTTCAACGACATCTTGGTCTATGGTAGCGTCATGGTGCCCGGTCGCTGGAACAATAAGAAGAAGGTCGTTCCTTTGGAGGAGGTGCAGCAGGAAGATCTGGAAGACGGAATGGCCATGGCCAACCAATGGCTCATCCGCATGCCACACAAGTCTTTCTACGTGTCGGCAGCCTCGCCTGAGGAAAAAATTGCATGGATGGGGCACATTGAGAAGTGCAAGACCCTCCGCATGCAAACTAAGGGCCTTCCCACTGACAATGATGCAGAGAAGTTTGCTACCACCTGGATCCCTGACAAGGCTTCAGCCATCTGCATGCGCTGCACAAAGAACTTCAATGTCACCACTCGGAGGCACCACTGCCGGAAATGCGGCTATATAGTATGTCGAGCTTGCTCGAAGAGCCGGGCCTTGCTACCAAACATCTCCTCTAAGCCCGTGAGAGTTTGCCGGTACTGTGTGAGCAGCACACAAGAGGGAAAGGTGCAGGGACAGAAGAGAAAAAAGGTAAAGCACTGGAAGAAACACTCCGTAGAGGAATCACCAAGGCTACCTGAGTTCGAGACGTCCAGCGATGAGGATCTCGAAGACGAGAACAGGTACCAGGTGCCCACCAAGTGGTTCAACAACCAGTTGGAAAAGGAGGATTGCTCCCCATACTGCTACATAAAGCCCGGGCACATGAATCCTCCCCTCACTGGACTCTGAACGTGATGTGAGCAACGACTATTATGAACTATGCTATGCACAGAGACGAATACCAGCAGTTATTAAGTATTTTGCACTAAAGTATGAGTCACTTCTACGATTTCTGTTTTGCACTTCTATTTAGTATTTGTATGTATATTTGAATATATACTCTATAGCATATGTATAAAGCGAACTGTGACTTTTGCAATCAATATAATAAAAAAGCATTATTTAATAAATATTTTGGTATTGTATTAAATACTTGGTGGGAAACACACATACCAGTTTTTTGTAAATGTTTGTTTGTAAACAGAATAACTAATTACAACATTCCGATATTCTAACAGTGTGGATCATATTAAATTCAATATTTTCAATAGAAGCATCCTCACTAAAAACAGCTTCTTACTGCAGACCTATAACGTTTAAGGGCGGAAGATATGGCGTTATCAGAGTGGACAGTGACAGTGAGCATACTGCTTCTCTGATGGATACAATTGCAATAAACATAAAAACATCGCATACTTTTTTGGGCCATGATTTCCGTATTGTAGTCTAGGTCACATGACTGTACATTCTAATGGACCCTTTTCACAGACGCATTTCCCAAATAACTTACTATGTGTAGTTAATTAACATTACTTAAATGTATAATTATACTGTAACAAGGACACCCTAAAATAAAGTGTAACCTTTTACTTACTTGAATGTGTGTCAAGGAGCATAATTTTCAATGCAAAGAACCATTTTAGCAAAAGGGTTCTTCAGGAGTTCTAAATAGAAGTTTTATTTGAGTAAAGAAGCTCTACAGAACCATCTATTTTTATAGTGCACTAACAATTGATTGGTAGAACAAGTCAAACAAAGTGTGTGGATTACAAAACAAAAACAGACATCTTGTCTAGGCAATTACTCTGAAAGTGATCAGAGATCGCATCAATTCAGCAAAATTTCACCAAGGCATGAGAGCTGAAGAGTCATAAAATAGTTGAGTTGTGATGTGCACATACAAGCTGAGCAAGTTTTCTGCTCTCATAAGAACTGTGGTGGGAGGAAGAGAAACAATTCTTAAAAAACACCTTTTTTTTCTTTGCATAATGACAGACTTTTTGGCACACATGGTGTACAGTAACTAACAAAACCAGTGCATCAGGTGAGATCAAATTTTACACACATCCCTGTTGTTTACTATCATTGGACAGATAAAATAGAAGAGGAAACCCACAAGTTTGTTAAAATGCAAACCACTTGATCAGAGACTCATTACCAAAGTAAACTATACCAAAGAAACACCACTGTCTTACTGTACAGAAACTCCAATGCATTACAGTCTTAGAGCTTGATTCTGGGAACTAGTGAAGAAAAGATCATTCTAAGGTTTAAAGAAAGGTTGTGTCTAACAAGCTCCATGTCTTTGCATTACAAACAAGATACTATAATGTCTTCAATAGAGCTGCTTATAGCTGAATTGAACTAATTTCGTAATTGATGAACTTTACAGTCAACACTGAACTGACTTTTCAGAGATGCTTTACATCAGAATTTTATTATTTGCATCATTGATCATTATTTTCCTGTTTATCACTGTATTGCATAAAGTGCTAAATAAAAGTGATTTGACTTGACAAAGGGCAGTAGGACAGACAAATACACAATAAATGTGACTAATCCCCAAGATGGGATAGGAAATTAGGTAGCTGTAATAGTCTTAGGTAAACCCCCATAATTGAATACTGTCAAAACACTTAACACAGAGATTAAAAAAAGAGTGACACAAAATCACAGAATGCCCACCACTTTGGATATTGTCATGTGTGTGGGACACTGGTCAAAACTTGAAGAAAGAAAAAATCAAACAGTGAAAAAGATTTGATTTGTAATGTTTTGTTAGTTTACCCACACCTGAAAATTCTGTCATCATTTACTCACCCTTATGTTGTTCCAAACCTATGACTGTTGTTGTTCTATGGAACACAAAAGAAGATATTTTGAGGAATATTGGTGACCATTGACTTCCACTGTGTGGAGAAAAAAAACTAAGACATATCTAAAAATACCCACAGAAGAAAGAAAGTCCTTCAGGTTGGAAATGACATGATGGTGAGTGAAACCATGATTTATTTTTTTATTTTTTATTTTTATTTTTAGGTGAACTACTCCTTTAAGGTAAAGTCTTCATTGAGTGCATGTAGATCTAAAAGGATTTAATGTGTCTTTTCATGTTTTGCCTGAAAACATGCAATGCGTCCCATTTAGAAGACAGACAGCGAATGCATACACACCTTAATATGAGGAAGTAGCTGCATTTTTCTTGGCTAACAACTGATGTTATACAACCACCTTGACAACCCTTTTGTACTAAAAATAAAACACAATTGTGCTACCAAATAAATGACATGTCAGCACCGAGGGTTTCACTGCATTCTTCTGTATAATGTTTGAAGTATTTCATTTTATTTGTTTGCACTTATATTGCAGTGTGGTTTTCACCTCTTAAGTCTGTTAGTTCTCATGGTGTGAGTGTGGTCTGTAGCTTATGACATCAGAGAGGCTATTCTAAGAAAAGCAAAGACCTGCTGCTCTCCAGCAAACCATATGAACTGTACCACAAACTACAGAGCACAGTACAAAAAGAGTGAGACCCTGTGGTTCAGGTCAACCTCTTTTCAGTTTAAAAGAAATTTTGTAATGAGAAAACACACCTCTTAATATGAAAAACTCAGTCAATACAACACCCACTAGAAAGAGCCTGCTGCCGGATTTTATTTGCTGCTGCTATACTCTCCGGCAGCCTGGGTTTTGTAGATCTTAACAGCCGGCCATCTTGCTCCAGCCATCTGAGGGCAATGTATCTGCCCTCTAGAACACACCCTCTCATGATGCCACAGCCACACGTGTTATATATTGCACAGAGTATAGCCTTAAAATAACATTGAATTATTTTTGTTATGTGTAAATGATTTTTATTGAATCAATAAAGACAAGAGTCATTTAAGTCACTGTTATAGTGATTAGTGCTCAAATTGTCTCTGGCTCAGTTCATCCAAATGCTCTATACTAATGCTAATACTTAGCAAACAAATTGATTTTAGCATAAATGATAACAAAAATGCTGACTCTGATGCAGGTCATAACTTTGCAAATTTCTCTATCCCATGTTTTTATATTAATAGCAAATCTAAAAGTTAAATCTACTAAAAGATTGTTCACCAAAGAATGAAAACTCTGCCATCATTTACTCACTCTAATGTCATTTCAACCCTGTATGACATTCTTTCTTCTTCAGAACACAAAAGAAGATATTTTATATGACGTGCTTTCGATCCATACAATACAAATCAATTGTAAACAAAACTGTTTGCTTACCAACATTCTTCAAAAAAAATATATTATTTTATGTCCCACAGACGGAAGTAAGACGGCTTTGCAAAAACATGAGGGTGAGCAAATGATGTACTATTCTTTTAGCTGTACTGAAATGGTACATCAAGTGGTTTTGATTTCACATTTCGGAAAAGATTTGCTCAATTTCTTTGAGAATTTTAAGGTTTACTGTGAAACTGTTACTCTGGTCAACTGGATTAAAGAACAATGTGGTAACACCTACATTTTTTATTGTAAAGACAAATAAAAGTAAAAACAGATTTCAGAAACAGCAACAACAAAACATAAACTAAAAAAGCTTAAGGTACTGTAGTCAAACTTGGCTTAGACTAAGCAGGTAACATTAACCCACTATTTTTGTCCATACTCCACTTTGGCTCCAAGCTCTTTTGTGGCAAAAGAGATTAAAGTAGTAAGCACTCGCATCTGCAGTGAGGAATTACTCATTACTAGAAAAGTTAGTTGAGCCAGGTCAACCCAATCCAGATTGCCCAGTACTGCCATGACATCAGAATACAGTTTCTTCTTTTGTTGAGGAGGCATCTCGATTATGATTTGATGAAGAGGCTGGAATTTGTCATTAGTCATCCACCATCCAACAGCACCTCCCAGAGCACCACCTACATAAGGCAATAGAATATCACATTTTAAGTTGGTCTCACTAAATGGTCTAAACGTTTACTGTATTTTTTTGTTTTGCAATTCCAACTTTTTCTACAAGCTTTAATCAAACTTCATTAATTTTTCAAATAGGCCTACATTGTTTTTCTACAAAAAGATCAACATAGTGTTATTTTAGTATCATTGATTAATATTTGAATTAATTTTAAATAATTGTTACATTTTTTATATTATAAATATTATAAACTAGAAATTATAAAATTATATTATAAATATTATAGACTATTATAAAACAGTTCCGGATTTCCGGTCCTTGATTTTGATTGGTTAAGCCACGTTGTAAAAAAAAAACATTGAGCCATGTTGTAAATTCCTAAACAAACATACATTACAAATGTGCATTGAGGAAATATTAAAATAAATATCTTATGGACTAACGGTTTTATAAAAGCAATACGCCCAGTGAAGATGTGGTTTACAGTGAATTTAGAACAGCTAAGGGGGTTTTATTGCTTTATTTTAGTAGCCTACATAAATGAAATGATTGTATGAAGAATGAAAACATTGACTTGGCAAGTAGCTGAAGTAAAATAAGTTCAAGTACGTTTTGTTTATTTTATTTTGTTTTAGTTAACACTGGCTCGAGATAAGCATACACAGTTGTTTATAGATTTTATACCACCACATTGGTTAAGAACTGCAGTAAGTCAAAGTTTGTGGATGACAAGAAATCAAACACGCACGCCAATACATACCAATAAATATACCGGGTGGCCCTCCGAGTAGCCCCCCTAAAAACGCCCCTCCGCCTGCGGTAGCAGCTCCTTTGGCTGAGTTCTGTACTGCTGCTTTAATCTGCCTGCTATCTGATATTTTACAGCAGAGCCCCATTACATCGTCTATTTGACGCTTCATTGTGTTGTGTTCAAAAACACTGCCTGGGGAGGAGAAAAATGAATCAAAGAGAGCTATTCTCAAATGTAAGTTGATTTAACACTGCGCAGAGTGTCGTAGGCCTAAACGGTGTCTTTCAAACGAACAGACGTAACTACAGTCGTGATAAAAACCAAAAAGAATGTTAAAGCTAAACAAGTTACATAAAATATGTAGGCTACATTTCCATGGCCTACATTTTGACAATATTTAACACTAGGCAAGTTTTGTAAACTACATTACAGCTTTCATAAAACTTTTGGCATTACCTCCGTTTCTTCTGTTGACTTTACTTTAAGATTGAGAAAGTGAAAGTGACATCACTTCCGCTCTTTGCTCCGCTGCTATGTCATTATACTTTTAATTTGATATCGATCGGAGCCATGATCGGAGCATCACCTCAATTGTCGAAACAACCAACAATAGGCCCCAATAGGTCCACCTGTTGGACAGAGTAGAAATTACAGCGAACAAAAGTTAAAATTACAGCGTGTGTGCGCGTGTGTGTGTAGCCTACATGTTTTTCTATCCCGGTGGGGACTTAAACCCGAATGCACACAGTGTCATGGACTCGTGTTACTGTAGGGACCTAAATTGAGGTCCCCATGGGTACAAAAGCTTATAAATTATACAGAAATTTTTTTTAATGTAAAAATGCAGAACGTTTTGTGTGATGGGTAGGTTTAGGGGTCGGGTTAGTGTAATGTGTGTGTGTTTTCATTGAGGTTTAGTCAGCCAATCTATCAATCCATCCATTTCCCAAATCGCTTGGTCACAGGTAATGAAAGACATTTAGCATTTATATAGGAAATATGGGGGGAAATGTCATGTTATTAGAAACATTTTTTTTTTTTTTAAGACAGAATTGACCAAATTTTAGAATTCATAAAAAAACAACAACAAAAAACAGACTTTGTTTTTTTTTGCCCAAGATTATTTAAGATATTTGTTGCACTTTGGCTGGTGATTCTACACTGATAACAATTATTTTGTGGTGAAGTAAATACTACAGAAAAAATCAATGTAATTTACATGAAAAAGTTAGTTCAGGCAACAATAAAAAAAAACTAAGTAAATTCTATATTACTACTCAATTCAAGCGTGTAGAAATTAAAGCGTAAATCAACGTTATAACATTAAGTAAAATTATTCAACTTTTCTGATACTGGTGTTCCCATCATGTACTGGGTCTTGAGTAATTAATGATGTTGATTTTTCACTGTTTTCCAGCTGTATTTACACTGTTTTATCATTGCTTTTGATTAGAAACTTGCCATTTTGTGGAATTCATTTTCCACTTAAAATGACACATTCAAACACAAAAACGATCCATCAAATGTTACTGTCATTAATTGTGTATTGTCTTACCAAGTATTGAGATATCTGCATTCACATAGCGTGTGATTCTTTACATGTAGAATATTTATGTTAGTAAAGCATAGGCTACTTTAAAAGTGTGGTTTAATTCAATGATATTTTTTGAGTGAAATCAAATGTATTTGCAAAGGAAACTTCAACTAAATAAATATTACTCAACCTTTTACTAGCCAAGTTAAAATTACTTATTTCCATTGTTATACTTTCATTAACTTAATTCAGTAGAGTTTACTTAATTCCATATGTGAAATTTACTTAAAAAATATTTGTGCAAAAACTTGCCAAAGAAAAATTAAGTAAATTTTACTTATTGTTTTTTTTTTCTTCAGTGTAGGCTATATTGTTTTGTAGACATTTTTACAAATAGTTAGGGACATCCACCAATTACAAATATCAGTCTTCAAGAGATAATGATTTTGAATACATTGGTTCCCTTATCGAGTCGGTCTCTCGACATTACGTATGGGGAAATCCATTTTCCTCGAATCATGAAGTCTGATAGAATAACTCTTTTGCTTGCAAATAGCCAATGGCGGTCCCGCCTTTACCTGATTGGCTGACACTCCTCAATATAGGTGACGGCGGGCGCCAAAACCCTCAGAATCTTTTTTCTTCACTCGAGTCTGTTTCACCGTTGATGTACGCATTCAGAGCGGAGTATATTAAGGAGTTTTTATTTCCCCTCTTGCGTTCCGGTGGATTATATTATGTCTCTTTGTCGCATGTGCGGTGGACCCATCGAATTCCCGGACGCACACAAACTTTGTGTGCTGTGCCTGGGTCGGGCCCACGCGGAGGCGCCGCTCGAGGGATCGGGATGTCCCGCTTGTGAGGAGCTTCCCATCAAGATCCTTCGTGCAAGGCTGGCCGTTACACGTAGCGACGACCTTGCGTTTCTTGCCTCTCCCCAGTCTGCCGCCGTCGAGCCGCGGACCGGGAGACGGCAGAGAACTCCATCCACGGGTTCTGTCGAGGCGCTGACGTCTGCCCAAGGCCCACGCCATCCTCACGTGGCAGAGCCCGTGATTTACTCTGAGGCCGTTTACCGCCCTCCTAAGGAAGCGCGGGAAATTATCTCGTTTGGATACGACGATGACGACGGCATGTCCACCAGTGCCTCTGACCCGGGAGCATGGTCCGAGTCTCCGTCTGAGGCCGCCCCCGCCTCTTTGGATGCGGAGCTTATGGCCATTCTCACTGAGGCGGTGGCAGATATGGAGCTGGAGTGGACAGCGCCCAAGGAGCTGCCGTCGAAAAGATGGATGGACGGTTCCTTCCTCGGCGTGGACCGTCAAGCTGAAGCGCCGCGGAGACCCGCCCCCTTTTTCTCGGAGGTCCACGAGGAACTCACCAGATCATGGCGCTCCCCTTACTCAGCCCGAGCCCATACACAAGGTACCCAGCTACTGACTACAGTGGAAGGGGCGGAGAAATTGGGCTACGCTCGATTGCCTCCCGTCGAGGATGCCATCGCGGCTCGTTTAGCATCTTCTCCCGGCTGGAAGACCGCCCAACTGCCTTCCAGACCATGTCGCGCTACTGCCCACATGGCTGAGAAAGCCTACACGTCAGCTGGACATGCAGCATCTGCCCTCCACGCGATGGCAATTCTGCAGGTTTTCCAGACGCGACTCCTAGGGTCCCTGGATATGGGAAGCCCGGACCCCGAGTTGCTCAGGAAACTGCGCACGGCCGCAGATCTCGCTTTGGCGGCGCCTAAAAAGGTCGCTCAGGGAATTGGCCGTGATATGGGCAGTCTTGTGGCCCTACATCGCCATCTGTGGCTGACGCTGTCGGGGATGCGCGAGACTGACAAGAGGCAGTTCCTGGACGCACCGGTAAGCCGCACGGGCCTTTTTTCGGTGTTGCAGTGGAGTCGTTATCCGACAAGTACGCCGAGACCGTCAAGCTACCGAAACGGTCTCAAGCCCCCCCCCCCGGCGGTGAGATCGAGATCATCTTCTGCGCAGCGCTCAGCGGGACCTAACAGACGCGCCTCCCCGAGCGCGGCAGAACGTCGCGAGCCAGAGCCTCCCTTCCGCCAGAGGCAGTTCAGGAAGCCCCGCTTTGGTGTGAAGCCGGCCTCAAGCAGCCAGGGGCGCCCAGTGGGCAAAAAAGAGCAGCGCTCCTGACGTGCGTGTCGGGGAGGAGAGAGCGCGGGACGTGTTCGTCGGACCCGCGGCGAAGAGGGCGTGTTCCCGCCCAGAGTTAAACGAGAATGTGTTGATTTTGAAACCGCTGTGTTCTGTTTCAATAAACAAAGTGCATTACATGTCTCAGCAAAAGAGCTTTCTTCTTCCCAACAATATTACCCGTGTCGTAGGCGAAGCCTCTCCCCCGGGAGACGTTTCGCAGAGCGGAAGCTCGGGGAAACCCGAGAAGATGGCTATTTATGTCCCCGTGCAAAAAGCCACGGACGAGCTATCTACCATTCATACAGCGGTCAATGCTTCCCCGGTGGCTGGCGCTCAGCCCCCGCCGCAGCATTCATTAAAGCCCCCCTTATCGAGTCACCTGAGCGCGTGGTCGACACTACCGACGGCATCACATTGGGTGTTAAACACGATAAAACGCGGCTATACGCTCCAATTCGCTCGCAGACCACCCCGCTTCGGCGGTGTGATTTTGACAGAGGTGTCAGAACAGAGCGCTCCGTTACTTCGGGCAGAAATCTCCTCTCTCCTGGCCAAACAAGCAGTAGAGACAGTACCCGAAGAGCAAAAAAATTCCGGTTTCTATAGCCTTTATTTTCTAGTACCAAAGAAGGACGGAGGTATGCGCCCTATTTTGGATCTGAGATTACTGAACAAAGCGCTCGCGAAACGCGCGTTCAAAATGATAACAGTGAAGCAGATCCTCGCGCACATTCAGCCCGACGATTACTTCATTGCAGTGGATCTAAAGGATGCATACTTCCACATTCAGATAGCCCCGCATCACAGGCGCTTCCTTCGGTTTGCATTCGAGGGTGTGGCATACCAGTTCAAAGTGTTGCCGTTCGGGCTGGCCCTGGCCCCCCGTGTATTTACAATGTGTATGAATGCATCGCTTGCTCCCCTGAAGCTCAGTGGAATGCGCATTCTGAACTATCTCGACGACTGGTTAGTCATCGCACGGTCGGAGAGTGTCCTGGGGGCAGTGTTAATTTTGTCAGCAAATTTTGATTTAGTTTTAGTCTTAGTCTTTTGACTAAAATGCCATTTAGTTTTAGTCATATTTTAGTCATCTGAATTGTTTTAGTTTTAGTCTAGTTTTAGTCGACGAAATACAATAACATTTTAGTCGACTAAATCTACAGTAGATTTAGTCGACTAAAATATAATGGGTTTAGTTCAATTGTAATGCGTTAATTTAGAATTTCTCAAAAATTTCCAAACCCATATACTCCCGGAGAAAACATCTATTAACCTATTAATATGAATGATTTTTAAGTTTGAACATGCAATACAGATACAGATTTAACTACTGTGACTTAAAAAATATCTTAAAATGAAATAAAACCACTTTTCCTAAAGTACAACACAGTCTTCTTTACGATGAATGATATATTCATTCCTTATAACTACTTACACATCATTCTTTATTCTTTCAAGCAGATATATTTATTTGTATGAATTAAATATAATTAATCCTTATTAAAGCTATTAACAAACAGTGAATGCTTTTCTCTTTTTCTTTTGTTGCTTGATCAAAATTAAGGACACGGACCGCATTAGGTTTATTGCCACTGTCACTTTAAGACGTCGGATCATGTCCAATGACATGCGGATACAATTGCACTGATGCACATCCGACACACTCACAGTTTAAGACATAACCAGCATATTTTACATGAATACTCTCCAAAAAGGACATTTAGACATACTGTTGTGTATTTCTCCATTCAGACACGAAAGAGAGCTCAATTCAGTAGCCTACTCGCGCGCTGTAGGTGTATTGTGCATGACTGCACGCTTCGGGTTAGGTGTGTGCGCACAG